CACAACACTGCTCTCAAAGTCCAGGAGAGGCTTCTGTGAGAGGGCTTTGAAACATTTGTGGGAAATGGAATTGAAGACAATGACATTTGTCCAGGACCTTTCTGAAGCCCTCTTGTATAGACTCATAGAAGCTTCAACCACTGCAGCACCTAAAACATATTTCACAGCAAGAAAATATGCGCACACAGAGCCAGCCAGCCAGGAGCACCAAGCTCAGCTCTGAGCTCACCTGCCTAGCCCACAACACCTTAGCATTTAAGGGGGGGGAGGGGGGGCGCTGGATGCTAATCTTTGTTCCTTTGACCTTACAATAGGTGGCACAGGTATTCCACAAGGACTGACTGGGTGACTGAGAGACATAGACACCACCCGCCATGGCTACTAAGAGGTGAGGAGACCAGGACGGCCGACTGACAGCACCTGTGTCTGAGAGCTGTGTCCACTGCTCAGTGGCAGGACTGGGAAACAGGCTGGCCCCCCCACACGGTCTCCCTGTCCAGGAGGGAAGCCCGAGGGTCTGTCTGCCCCCAGGCAGATGAGAGCCTCCATTTCTGCTTTGTTACTGAAGAGTTCTCTCCTTGAGTGAGTTCTCACTATTGTAATGTGTGAATTATTCCATAAAACTCCCACCATACTGTTTCTTCCCCAGGGGTCTGGTAAGAGAAGGTGGGAGAAGAGGCTGAGAGGAAGACAGGATTCATCCGTGACGGTTAATAGTTATGTGACTGTAGAAACTTGGAACTCCTTCTCTGACCGGAACGAAGAAGAGTCAGGAATGGGTGCGTCCTGTGGATACCCAGATCCCTGTGCACGGAACCTCCTCAAGCTGAGCCAGGGACAAAAAGCTGTGACCCTAGAGGAGTAGCAGAGGGTCAACAGCAGAAGGGAGAACCTGAGCACAAGACAGAGCGGTTGAGTCCCTAATCCTGGAAGAAGTACAGCTGAGAGACTCTGGGGAGGGGAGCTTGCTGAGTGGCGTGCGGGCCTCTAGGCGCTTACCGGGGCCCTAGGTTTGCAGACACAGGAAGCTAGGGCCAAGTGCCTGAGGCTGAGGCTTAGGGTTGGAGTGCTGTGTCCTGTGGTCATTCACCAGCAGCCCTGAAAGAGCTGGAGGACTCTGCCTGTGGACACTGCTGAAGAGAAGAACCGTGGCCTGAGCATTTTCTGGTCCTGAGTACTTCCCTAGTAAACCCCACAACTGTGAGTCTGGTGTCGTGAGTTGTGTGTGGTCACTGCAGTGCGCTGTTGATCTAGCTGAGTAGAGAGTGGGTGGGAGAAATGGTTGGTGTCACATTACGTTGTTTTGAGGATTAAAGAAAACCTAAGATGTCCCTGGTGGTGGTTGTTATGTGCCGTGCAGTCGGTTCCGACCCATAGCGACCCAGAAAGCCTGATCTTTCTCCCGCGGAACAGCTGGTAGTTTCAAACTGCTGACCTTT